ACACTGTATCTTGTACCATGATCAATTAGGTGCAGTACTTTGTTGCCATTAATTTCTTTGATGTCCATGGCAATGTTCTCATTAAAATAGGTTCCTAATGAGAATCCAACAATGGATCTAGGTTCAGCCCTTTTGTACCTCATGCAAATTTCACATGAATTAGGAAATTCTTGTAGAATTTTAATAAATTCAGAATCTCTCATTCCAACATTTCTGACTGAATCACATAGCTTTTTGCTGCTGGGGTGACTGAATTGTCTATGCAACTTTGTGGCAATTTTAATTTTCTCTAGTCTATTTTTACTAGCAATTTCTTTAATAAATAAAATTTGCTTGAACTTACCTTGGTCTGGTAGAGGTCTGCTAATAGGGATGTGGCAGTGACCAGATGAAGTACACTGCATTGGGACTTTTCTCCCCAGCATGTTAAGTGTCATTCTCAAAATTGAGGCATGTCCTGGCTCTTTTCATGGAATTTTTGTTTAACAGAAGTGGTATGTCAGAGTCCACAATGTCAGTTATGATACTGACTTCAACGCCGGCAATGACACACGGTTGAGTGACTGTGTAGATGGATTTGAGTTTGTTTCCATCACCAAACTTATATTTTCTGCATGTTTATTTAAAAAGTAAGATTTTTGTACTTTTTACTTGCCTGTTTTTCATCCATGTTTTGCCTTTCCATGTTGTCTTTATACAGTAGCATTGAAAATTAAGCAACAAAAATTAAAAATTTGTTATCTCAAAAAAAAAAGTCCAATTTTTCTGAAATTTTCACTAAATGTAGACAAATAACAATTTAGTTGTGCTTTAAATCTGTAAGTTATTTGGAATGAGAGAGAGAGCTCTGATTCATTTAATTTTTTACTCAAATATCAAGTGTCCAAAATTAAGGAACAAATCAGGAAATATGTAAGAATAACGCACATAATCCAAATTTCTGATAAATCTTTTCGAAGATGGCAAACCGTCAAAAAGTTGACAAATCTCTAAGAGCTGACATTGCCAAACTGTGAAAGGAAAAATGACACAGTTAACCTGATTGCTGAACAGATAAGGTAAAGCATTCCAAAAGTGTTTTGAGCCAAATTCTGAAACTGTACAAAAACACTGTTCACCAGTCCAAATAAGGTGGGTAGACTAAACAGAAACCACTCATAAGCAAAAAGAGCGAGGCAGCAAGACTAGAATTTGCAAACAGGCATGTGTTGTTGTCTGAAGTGTATTTTTCAGTAATGAAAGTAAATTTAATGTATTTGGTTCTGATAGAAAACAGAGTATGTAAGAAGAAGAATTGGCAAAAGGTTGAATTCAATGTACACCAAGAAGATGGTCAAATCAAGACAGTGTGTGATGGTTTTCAGCATGTTTTCAAGTCTGGGTACATCACCTCTCATATGCTTCCATAATACAGTTAATGCTGCTATGTACAAGAATTTGTTAGAAAAACATGTGATTCCACTATTACAAAATTCTGGGTTTGAAAATCCTGTGTTCATGTAGGATAATGCTCCCTGCCATAAGGCAAACTAGGTTATTGCTTATGGGTTAAAATTACATTTGACAAATGTCAAAATTTATTGAAATCCTGTGGCCACCAATGTACAGCAGTGATTCAAAACAAGAATCTTAGCAGTAAATATTGATAAGACTTTTTGCATTTTGTTGTCCAATTATTTTTTTATTAAAAACATTTTGTTGCTTAATTTTGGACATTTGATATTTGAATAAAAACTTAAATGAATCTTAGCTCTCTCTGTCTCACTCCAAATAACTTAGAGATTTATAGAAAAATGGGCCTTATATTTTTTGAGATATTGAAGTTTTAATTTTTGTTCTTTAAATTTGGATGCTGCTATATTGTTAATATTCATGGCATATTGTTTTATTACCAAACTGTATGTGATGAGTGTCTACTTAAGAACTGATATGTTCTGATTTAAGGATGTCATCTTTTGGTTCAATCTGAATACAAACACTAAACACTTTTCCTCTTTCACTTATTAACACTGAGCATAGCAATAAGAAAGCAGAAATGAATTGAAGCAATGTGAAAAAACTGTTAACAGTTTTCTTCATTATGAATCTTCTTCCTGGTCAGACAATAAATAAAGAATACTACTGTGATGTGCCGTGGCATTTGCAGGATGCTATTCATTAGAAAAAGACTTACATGCGTCTAGTGAGTGGCAACTGCACCATGACAATTCACCTGCTCATTCAGTGCAGCTTGGGCAACAGTTTTTTGCCAAAGACAACATTTCCCAGGTCTAGCAACCACCATATTTTCCCAGGTTTCGCCACTTGAGACGACTTCTTCTTTTCAAAAATCAAATCACCTTTAAAAGGATCAAGATTTCATGATGTTGATGAAATCCAAAAGAATGCTGCTTGTTATCTCAAATAAAGGATTCCATCAATGAAAATGATGCTGGATAAAAAAACTATTTAAAAGAAGATTAAATGCTGAATTGATACATGTTGTAGTTTTCTTTTTATAGCACCAGTTCAGATACTTTTTCATCAGATTTCATATTTATCTTTCTAACTTTTTCAGAGAAATAGATTTTTACACTGTTCTTAAAATATTTAATTCAAGGATTTACATACAATTTATTCAGCTCATAGGGACTCCACATGTACTGCAGCCATAGAGGTAGTGGACACGTCTGGAGCAAGCTAGCCTGATGAGGCTCATTCCTCTTCAAACTGGTTTTGAATTGCTCTTCTCCTAGACTGGCTGCCATCTAAGGTAATAAACCCCAGTCTACCCTATTATTTAACCCATAGCTGGAGGAAGATGGAGTCATACCTTTTTCCAAGAGCAATAGTACAAAGTGAACAAAAGAGAATTGGTCAGAATTTGAACTTTGCACATTTATTCCACTAATATATATATATATATATATATATATATATATATATCTGCACGTACACACAATATCAGACTAAACACCAGAGTTTTGGGGGGTTACCTTCTTGGTAATGCTGAGAGGTTTTCAATATTTTCTCATATAAAGTCAGTATAGTACTTATATTCTACAAGGACAGATCAATATGTCCACTGCATGATAGCTGTTGATTTGCTAAGTTTTGATCAGGTATTTTCACTATAAATGTTAAATTTATATGATTAATACTGGCCGCTAAATGAAGTGCATTGACAAAGAAAGAAATTGGTAAAACATAAATGACTGTTGTATAAAATAAATGCTTTTTTTCCTCCCTCATCAATGGGTGTTAGAATGTGAGATTTAGTTCTGAGGCAATCAAATTGTAATTTAGGGAAGTTTGAAATGAACTTTTCTCAGTAAGGACAGCACATCACTTGTCTTCCAGAAAAACAGATTTCATTCCCATTGATATTGTAAAACAAGATTTGGCTTATTTAAATGCTAACAACTGTGTTCCATTTTGCATCCCTTACAACTACTTTGGCTTACCAAATTAAACACTATTTGCCCTCAAACAAACAGAAGTGATAGCAGCAAGTGGCATTTTCATTTAACACTCAACATTAAGTTACAGACTTATTGATGAACCTATGCACATATATACCTGCAATATATAAATGAATAAAAACGCTTTGTCTGGCTCAAGGTTATGGTGGTGGAGCACCTAATGACAATCAAATACACTATATTAGTCTATCTATGGCAAAATCCCAGTCTCTTTTTCTTCTTTTCTTTTTAGAATTCCTTGTTGAATACATGTATATTTAAAACCACAGAATTTATTTATGGAAATAAAAACAAACAAAAAATGAGTCAATTCAAGCAAGAGGAATCTAGGGTGAATATTTGACTCCAGATACTTGAGGTTTTGCCTTTCTGAAATAAAAATCACTTATATTTAATCTAATTTTTAACTTATAAGAAATCTTTTAGGTTTGGTATCAAATAGCATTAATTAAGGGAAATAAACATTCTATTCCATTATTGACTAAGTCTTACACATAAACTCTGATTAAATTGGATTACTCAATTCTTATTCTCTTCACATTTGAACTGCTTGATATGGCTGGCTTGTATTCCATGAGTATAGAAAAAATGCCAAGCGGATCAACACTTTTCAAAAACCTTGCATAATGAGAGCCAGGTGTGGTTCTCATTATGCACTTCTTGCGGTTGTAACTTGAGAGATTTGAGCCTTGACTTGCTACTTGATCTCATAAAACTTCTTTCCAATCTTCTGCTAATATGTGTGTGTTTTGTATATATAATTTAACAGGTTGTTTTCATTTAAGCAACTACTTTCATGTACTTTATTTGCCATTGCTTTGTTTTTATATATATATATATATATATATATACACACACACACACACACACACACACACACACACACACACAGTGTGTGTCTGTATGTGAATAAACACTCTATCAAATTTTTATTGTACAAGTCTCATTTTTCACAATAAAATTGGTGCTACTCAAGTGATGTTGATAAAATATCTGAAGATCTATTTCAATCAGCAGTATCCTTCAGTATATGTGTGAATTTCAGCTTATGATATCTTTATGAAAAATGTTGATTATCCAGGGATGGGGGAACTTTAAGGTTCTATGGTGCAAACGAAATGCAACATAAAGTTTATTTATAAAAAAAATCCAAAAGAGATAAGGCACAGAAATCTATTTGATAAACACAATATCCCATATAATTGAAATGATTTTATTCTTTTACAATGATAATATGAAATCATTGTTCTTTCCTAATCTTTCATCTGTTGGTTTATTTGTTTTTCAAATCTTGGAAAAGCTTCATTTTTTTTTTTTTTTTTTTTTTGTTAGCAAAGTGAACAACAGTCACAGCTTTGGACAATTTGAAGAAAGCGCATCTTGCATGAACATTACTCTGGCTTCGTTTCTTGTTTCTGAGCCATGGGTTGAATGTTAAAGTAATCCTTTTTATCGTCTTTGAAAGGATGATAACATTAACATTTTCCCCTCCCTTAAACCAGTTGAGCAGGGGAGATATTAAAGTTATTTGATTCTCAGTTTTGTCTGTCTTTCTTTCTTCTGCTCTTTCAAGTAGTCTGTCTCTCTCTTTCACAATTAATCTCTTTTTATCTCTCTCTCAAGCAGTCTTGTCTCTTTCTATCTTTCACTCTCTTTCTCAAGGAATCTGTCTCGTTCATTCATCTCTCTCTCTTTCTGTTTCTCAATTTTGTCTTTCTTTCCATCTCTCACTCAAGCAATCTTGTCCCTCTTTGTCACTATTTCTCTTTTGTCCCTTCAATACTTGAATCACATTAAATTTTTGCCAAAAAAAAACCATTAAATATGTATTAGTGAAATAGTTGCTTGCTTTCTCTTTTTTTTTGTCCAAATTGTTCATTTGAGAATCTCTATTTTCTACTCACTGATTAGATATAATATTGCCATCTCCCACCCTCCAAATAAAATCCTAGCAAAAAAACCCCAAAAAAAACAGTTTGCTAAAGTGAGAACATGAAACAGCTGAATAATGTTAGAAATTCTGAGATGAATCATTTGTCACCCCCCCCTCCAAGTTATTTAGACGAAAGGCCTCTTGAAGGAACATTTCAGCCAAAATGTAGAGAGAAAAGCAGTAAACATGATGAGGATATTAATTTGAATTTCTCTTGGAATAAAGACATTACAAGGAGCACTAGGAAGGCTGAAATGCCATGTCGAGTGGCATGTGTTTTTCCTTCTCTCTCTCCCCATCCAAATAAGATGGTCCCAAAAATTCTCTCCTGGATTTTTGTACATAAAGTTAAGGCTAATTTTTACCCAGGCATTGTAGGCTATCAGTCCTTGTACCTAAACCAATCTGATAATGCTATAATATTAAATGTAAATAGTGGAGAGGGTGTCTTTATATGCCATTAAATGTGGTACATGTGGACCAAAAGACAGAAGTGTAAAAAACATCTAGAAATTGTTCCTATTTGTCTGATCTTTGTTGTGCATCATTAATCTTGATTGTTCTCTTAATCTTTAATTAACTTCATTAATTAAACATTAGATTTTTTTATTAAGATCAAGCAATGAGAAAGTTTCAAAATAATCGAACAACAGATGTGGGTAAATAACGAATATAATTCCATTTCATATTTAGGATTGTTTAGTGGTTTATTATGCAAGGCCATCTGGCTCTCTGCTTTCATCAGAAATGACTTTTCATCAGAGTTTTTTCCAAATTGTTTTTATACAAGTTTTTACATCACCACAAATATGAAAAACTTTATTTTTTTTTTTTTTTTTAGTTCGATTTGTTTTAGGCATTCACACTTAAAGTTAAAAAATAAGTTTTTTTTGAGGGGTGGGGTGCTAATGGATGATCTTTGAAAAGTATTTAGTATCCTTGGTTACTGTTTTTAGGATATTCTCCTGTTCCCACTCCTTTTAATATAATGAGGTACTGTATTAGAGAAGGATCTCCAGTTACCAAAATAATTTTAATTTTCTGACTCCTAAAGGTTGACTGTTTTGTTTGTACCATGAATTTTAAATGTATTCAAACCCAGATTGACTCTTAATTTCTTTTTGATTTTTTTTTTTTTTTTTTCAAGAAATATTTTAATTTCTACAATAGTGATGAGTTGGCTTTTATATTTGATTTACTTTTGGGATTTGAGATTTTAAATGTGAAAAATGCTGGTTTTATGGGTTACCGCTGACAAAATCTTTAATTATGAATATTTTACCATTATCTTTGAGGTTTCATGAGAAATGTATTCTAGTTTTCCTATTGTTTTAAACCTTCAAATATCTATCAGTAATTGTCTTAGGAATGTTGTTATCCATTTCCTGCTATGTTTCAAAATCTTAAGGATCTTCTTCACGAAACAATAAAATAAATGTCATTTTCTCTTTAGCTGTCATTGTAAAAAAAACAAAAGAGAATTTCTTAAAAAGTCATGAAGTTCATTTCACTTACTTGCAGCTACTCAAAAGAAGCATCTGAGTGACAGAAAAAAAATCAGCATTTTTTTAAAACAGTCTACTCAAATTGCTAAGCTTTACAATTGGTCATCAGTAAAATAGATTTGCATGTTCTATAAAGCATTCTAATCAACTCAGCTCAGTGACTTGCTTGCTTGCTTGGCTTGGAGTAAAACTGATTTGCATGTTTGCTGACCTTGTCCAGTGAAGAGACTTTTGAGGCTTTTTTTTTTCTTCACAAAAACAGCATGCACCATACACTTTAATGAATGAGCTACTATATTGTAAATACTTGCCATTTTCTTATGTACGAAAACAAAAATATAGCAGAAATGATCAAATATTGATTGCTGAAGAGTTTTTGATTTCATTAAAAACTATTTTTCTTTTCTTTCCAGGACTTGTTGATCAATACCAGCTTTATCGTGAGTTTGTGCTCTTAGCCAATTGCTTAAAAAAAATGATGGCTTGACATGGAATGACCAATAAACAAAGTCTTCTTGTTGTTTATCTGGAAGAAAGGAAAATAGAAACCTAAGCAAACCAGACTGTCCTTGTTGGTTGCCTTTCTTGATTTGCACAACTGTAGAATTAGTGGAATGTTTTCAATCCCCACCCCTGAAACAAAAACAAAACCTTTCTAGAAAAACAAGCTAGCTATTCAGAAAAGAGTGTGAGAAACAAAAAGATATTTTTGCTGTTGATCCATATTTATCGGGATTCGTGCAAATACACCTTTACTGTGGAGTGTGGAGATGCTGGTTGCAAACTGTGGCAACAGATGAACAGGTAAGAACAATTTCAGTTTTGTTTTCTTCTTTTTTTTATTACACACTGTGATGTATTAACCTGTTCACTGCCGCAGGTGCAATAACTCATCTTGGCAAGTTATCCGTTTTGTAAAAAAATCAGTTAACTCTTCTTCTGAGTGAGCCTTTTTTTTTCTTTTTTTCGTGAATTGCTAGCATCTCTTTGTGAAAACAATGTAAATTAGCATATTTACTTCAGTGATCTGGCACTTTGTGTCTTATGTTGTGTAGATACGTGTTTTAACTCATTTTATTTTAAATTATTAAAATGTTTTCATGCATTTCCCTATAAAGTATTATCAAAGGTAGATAGGTTTCATTACCCCTTCCTCCTCCTCTTGAAACTCAACAGATGATGAAAAAACTCAGGATGTTTTTACATTTTTAAAAACTGGAAATATTTTTTTAATTTAAATTTTTTCTTGTTTTGTTTAAAACAAAAAACAATTTTTCATAGAATGAAATTGTTATAAAGTCCTCTCAGCAAAATTTGAATTTCTATATCTTTACCTCAGGAAACCTGCCATAACATCTGCTCTTAGTTCGTACAAGGAACTTTAATGGCTGGCAAAAAATATAAACTTGTTTAAATCTCACTGAGTGCTTATTCTTTATTTCTGATCTAAACTGTTTTTTTGTTTGTTTGTTTTTTCGATATCTGTAGATTAACCATCGAAGTGGTTGCAATGAAAAACAAGTGAAATTAAGAAATAAAGATTAATAATGGCTGACAATGTTTTTTATTAAAAAAAGAATGAAATACCAAAAGCTTGGACACGTTTCAGTATTTGCTCCTAAGTTTTATTTTTTGGGGATATTATTTATTGTCAAGATGTTTTTCTCTAAAATTCCAAAATAGTTACTCAGCTTAATTCAATACACCACCCAAATTAGGCCCAACCAGAAAGATTGTGTTGTGCCAGTTTCCTAAGTGTAGAGGGCCTGTCTTGAAAAACAAAATACTTTTTCCATTGATCAATGAAAAATTCTCAACTATTTTAGACACTAATTTAACTCTAGTTTCAAAATAGATAGAATTGATTGAATCAAACCAGGTGTCAGTGAAAAGAAATACAGACCCCCCCCATTAAAAGCAGACATTTTATATATCATCAGCAGCAGCAGCACCTATTGTTAGTGCATTGAAGGACAAAGTCCTCTCCAACTATTTCCATGACCATGGCTGTATTGTTTTCTGTCATGTCATATCAGCAAACCTTTCAATCTCATCTCTCCATCTTCTAACCTGCTCTATTCCTACTGCATTTGTTACCCATTGGCCAGTAATCAACTAACCTTTTGCTCCCTTTTGTTATCACTTCTTGTTATGTATCACCAATCCACCTCCATTTTTATCATTTCATCATTTCTTATCTTGATTTTTTCTCTCATCCATGTCAACACGTCTTTTCTATTTCTGACAGTTATTTTTCACATTGCTCTTTCTATCAATTTTTCTGCTTTTCTGGGTTTGTTTTCAAGCAATTATATTAATTTCAATATTTTCACAGCAATATATATATATATATATATATATTAGTCAAATTGGCAATATATATATATATATATATTAGTCAAATTGGCAATATATATATATATATATATATTAGTCAAATTGGCAATTAAATTTTCATTATGATACTGTTCTTGTTAAATGCTTTCCAACTAATTATATGTTGCTACCTATCTTAAGTGGATATATTCCTGGACTTCTTCCAGTCCTTCATCCTATTGTTCCATATTGTTATTTATTGTTGACAGTTTTCTTAAATTGTATATTAAATCTCACTGGGCAGCTTTTGACTAAACTTTGCAAACTTTAGAAATATATTTAGAATGTGTCCAAGAGAAGGGAATGATGTTTGGGTGGGAAGCAGGTTCACCTCTTCAGCATTTGAATGACAGGTAAAATTTGTTGTTTCCATTTGACATATTCAAACCTGCAATTTGAATGAACTTTTTATGCAATAAAAAAAATCCAAGACTTGTTCAGGATATAAAGTTCATTCTTTGAAACAAAACAACAGAATAAACAGGAATTTCCTACAGTTTATCCACAATTTTGATACCAGTATCGAACATTATATTCAAAAACTGAAAAGATAGAATAAGAATTAAACAGACAACACTGTTAGTTGCATTTAATCAAATTTATTTGGATGACTACTTGTTACCTAAATATACTCTTTATTTATATATATATATATATATATATATATATAGTTATTTATTTAAAAATATGATTCCTTCGCTACATAAGAATTCTCAAAACAAGAG